AAATATATACTTTAACTTTAATATATACTTCAACAATTGGAAAAATAGAAAATCTAAAACGAGTTATTTTGATTAATTTGTTAGTTCTAGTGGTAATTTTATTTTTGGAATAATTTCTAAATTTCTGTAGCCTAGTATCATGGGAGTTTACTATTCATCACTGACGTCCACTTGAAAAGTTCAAAACGCGATATACATGTAGGATCGGGGTGGGTGGATGGGCCAAAGTAATGTTGTTTTACTGCTTTTTAAAATACAATAAACTTATATTATCGGTTACGAAACTAGAGACCCGCTAGGGGTACGCTCGACTTTTACTTCTTAGACACTATCTTGAGAATCGTGAAGGACTGGTCTGCCCGCGCCCTTGCACCCTTATTTAAGCATTCACTCTGTCCTCATCTATACCCACGTTCTCTCTTCTCAATCGGTCGGTCACGTATTCTAAACAGTCAGGCGCATTCATAAATCCTCTTGCACGCGGTCTCTTTCGTTCTAAGCCCAAACATACTTATTCTTCCAGGGCTCTACTTATTCCCATCCCACATACATGTACTTACAAGTACATCACGTGCCTTCGCTTACAGAAATCGAAACGTCGTACGGTCACGTCATCGATCTCGAACGTCAAAATGACTTGTTATTTAAAATTTACGATTTAAAGGAAATTAATTTTGACTTTTACTCGGATAGGAATTATCTTCATCGTACACTCCAATTTTTCACATTCGTGTGTAATATATTTAACCTTCTATGGACCGAATATATATTTTTCTTCACTATAAGAATCGTATGTAACATAAAATCAACAAATATCAAGCAATAAATTCAGCAGTTTTGACAATTTTATTATAACGAATTCGTATTGAAAGTTTGAATTAACAACGGTTGTACTATTGTGCCAAGATAATGCGCAATAGATAGACAAGATAATTTTATACGCCATCTTGTGGAGAAAAGGTCACAGGGGGCCATAGAGGACCTAACCTATCATGATCGAATAACCCGTAAATGAAAAAGAATTAGAATTTTTAAAAATGGAACCACGGGAGATATTGTAAAAATAATTATAAATATATCGAAAGAAAAATCGCGAACTGGAGTGATCAAGACGATAACGTTGAATGGAGTATTTAAGAAAATACCCATACATTGGCATGTAACTTGAAAGTTACACGGGCCCATAAAGGGTTAATATTCGTTTCAATATCTTCACCAACTGCCTCGCATAATACTAACCTAAAATCGAAATTGATTTATAATCCCGCAATACAATCAGACCACTCGAGGAACAGTGCGAAGATCATAGAGCGTGCTATCATATCGTCGCGGAGCATAACGATGAAACTCGTCAGGCCAACTAATTCGTAATCCTCCCGTCGATCAAGCGGCGCTGGCGTCGCGCGTGGCGCGCGAGCCTGATGGACAGATGGAAGGCGTATGTGCCACCGGAGTTGTTGTCAGACCGTTTTACTTTACTGCCCCATAAAAGTACCGAGATTTAGACTGCAATACCGCCATGACGTATCGTCGCCGGCCGTGCGCGTACACGCGCAGCGTGTCGGCGTGTGAGTGCGTCTACGCACAGCGGAGATCGTGGCGGCCGCGAGACATCATCCGCGCCTCCTTTCGCGCGTGACGTCACGCGCGTAGAAAAGAGGACTCGGTCGATGGATCGCGACCGTTGGAATCGCGGATCGCGGCGATGGAACCGCGAGCACACTAGCGCCACCGTGACCATTAAATCCGCGCGGCCCAAACTCGCCACCCTCTCTGCGACTCTCTCGATAGTCACCTCCGCAAAAGTCTCCGTGACCCGGTCAGAGCTGGGCGAAGAATATAGACAGGGATAAACTTAGATCGTGTTCGACTATCCGCGAGGTTCGGACAATTTCGACGATTGCTTGGAACAACACCGCTGTAAACAAATAATTTAAGAACGATAACGGCTGGCCGTTATTCCGGAAGATAATGGGTATCGTAAAAGGCTCGGTGTTCGACGACGGAACTCGGCGAGGATCGACGAAAGTCGCGGCCACGGACAAACGCGATACGAGGCTAGATGGAATAAAATGAACGAATATTTCCGATAGAAATATTAAATAGAAACGGACGAGGATGGCGCGGGTAATTAGCGAATCGAGTCGACTCTCGGGTCCATTTATCGCGCGAACGCCAGGATGCAGCGCGACGAGGGTAAAAGCGTGGAAATTGCGCGACGCGCGTAGGAATGGAATTTAATTCGGTCGGGGTCTCGATTTCGTTTGGTTTTTCATTTTTTTCCCGAGTAAAAAATCGGCGTGGAAAAATTGGAAGGGAAGAAAAGGTCGGGAATAGATGGGAAAGAAAAAGAGTGGCGGCGCGTGACGGTGGCGGCGCGCGCGAAATCGAGGCATTCGCGGAGTGTATGCGTGCCTGGCTGCGTTTGTGCTCGCTGGCTGTGGCACGATGCAGAGAAGGGAGAGCGGCAGATTAGAGTGCGATGGGAGAGGGTAGGAAAGGGGTACGGGGCTAACAGCTCGGCAGAGCGCGAAGTGGTAGGGGGAAGAGAGACGTGTCCGTGCAGGGTTTGGTTGCCAAACGATCCGAGAGATCGCGCTCGCGTCGCGTTCAGCCCGTTTGCGCGTCCGAGCCGCGGGCAGAGCTCTCAGTTGACGCTCAGTTCGGCTCAGCGAGGCCAGAGAGAAGAAAGGGAGTCTTTTCGTGTGTGTAAACACCGCGCGTGTGTGTATCGTCGTATCAGCCACGGTTCCACGGGGACTCTCTCTACCTGAGGAACCCGAAGCCGCGTGCTCCCCATGATACGCGTCCAGGGGTCTGCTACCTGACTTTTCAGGACAGAGAGGGACGAGAAGAGGGAAAAAAGCGGCGAGAGATCCTCGTCGGTCCGATCACGAACGCTCCGTTTCTCCTGACCGTGTGGCGATTGCTCGACGCGAGTCTACGGGCACGGTCTACCATCCGCGTCTACTCGACCGAAATTCCACGGCTCGTCGTGGATAACAGCGGGACGGAAAAAGGAGACAGGAGAGGAGAACGCGTGGAATCCCGGATTACAAGCACGACGTACGCGCGTTTCCAGAGTACGGAGGATAGGGTGAAAAATAGAGACGAGTATCACCGAGTGTGTCACTGGTGAAGAGGGCGAGAGGGAGAGGGAGGGAGAGGAAGAGAGAAAGAGAGAAAGAGAGAGAAGGAAGTGCGCGCTCGAAGTGGACGTCGCGTGTGCATTCGAAGAGAGTAATGAGCAAGGTGACAGTTTCCTTTGAGGAAGGAGACCGGACGACATGCAGCTGGAGCATGGCCTGGACCGGGACGACGACGACAGCAAGATCGGCGGAGCAGTGAGAGAAACGTGCTCGTACCGTTCGTACGACGCGACGTGCTCGTCGATTCGCCTACCGAGGAGACCACGATTGCCAAGTGTCCTGACCGCGACATGTTTCAGCCGCGCGATAATACTCGTTGATCGTTTCGTGCATCCATCGTCGTCGCCGACGACGTTCGACGATCGTCAAGTTGCGTGGAACGCGCGAAACGAGACAGTCTGATTCTCGAAGCGGGCAAAGAGAAACCGCGTAGCTGATCCTACGTACGCATACCCGTGTACTTGCGCGAATCGTCGAAACGATCGACGTGCCGCACGATCCGAGCCAGACGCTCGATTCGAACCATCGTTTCTAAAGGTGTGCTGTGTCATTTCTTTTGTTTTCGTTCGTTCCAACAACGCGCGTCGCTCATCGTCCGTGCGTATCGTGGTACGTACACCTACTGGCCACGTACACGAACGTACGCGATCGTCATCGTGATCGTCAACGTGACCGTCATCGACATTGCTGTACACCGATCTACGACCACCGGGGATCCTCGTTGGACGTCCGTATCGGGACACGACCCGCTCACCGATCCTCATCGACGACGTCGTCTCCGCACGTGGCCTGTCCTGCTTGCCGCCCGTCAACCTCGATCAACCTCGGTCGTCGTCTTGGACGCGTTGTCGCGGTGGTGGTGGTGGTGGTGGTGGTGCATGGACCTTTTCTCCACGGATTTGCTACGCGTTTTATCGCGCCCCTGGGCGTCTTCGTCTCCCTCTCTGTCTATCCTCGTCTCGTTCCCTCTCCTTCTTCCCTACATCGCTCGCGCTCTCGCCTACTCTCTCGCGCCCTCTCTCTTCCTCTCTCCGTCTTTCCCTCCGTTTCTCTCTTTCTGCATCGCCGTGTGCCGTCTCCCTCCACCCCACGCTTACCAACCCCTCCACCTGTCTGCCGCGCCGCTGCACACCCTCTCCTCCTCCTCCTCCCTTCGCCAACCCTGTGCTCGCACGATCGCGTACACCCGTGCAATTTTCCCTATCCCCACCTTCCGCGCGCCTCCTCTGCCTTCCGCACGCGTTTTCTTTATTTATTCCGCGATTCCACGGAGCAACGCAACGACGATGCTTCTTCGCACGCGATGAACCTCGCGTCCCGTCTATCCTCGTCTATTTGAAATCGTCCGCTCGCGTGCCCACTCGCGCGGCTACTCGCGCGCGGTATTCTCCACGCGTCTCGCGTACCGACCATTGGTCATCGTTGCCGATCTCGTCTCGGCTACGCTCGACGAGACCGTCCTCGTAAAATCGCCGATAATAACTACCGCTTCGCTACTTTGCTCCTGTCCCCACTCCTCCGGCATCCCCGTTGTCCCTTTTCTTCTCTCTCTTCTTCTCTCACGTCTCCTACTCTTTTTCAACCTCTTCTTCTTCTACTTCTTCTTCTTCTTCTTCTTCTTCATCGTCGTTTTCTTCTTCGTGTTCTTCTTCTTCCTCCTCCACCTCCACCTTCGTCACCACCTCCACTTCCACCGCCCCCTCCTCCCCGTCCTCCTACTCCACCTGCTCCTCTTTCACCGGCGTGTACGGTGTCTCGTTCTGTCGGACTAACGTTACTCGGACGGTTACATCGTCTCGCTTACGTCCGTCCTTGGATCGTATGCGCGCGTCGTAAACGCAACCGCGTGAAACGACGATGCGATCGCGGTTCCCGGTCGACTGGTGAAAAATCGATCGGCACCCGTCGTCTGTGGTTCCCGCGCGCGCTCTCTCTCTCGGCTGAAACGCCATCGTCCTCGTCGTCGTCGTCGGCGTCATCCATCGCGCGGAAACGCACGCGAATCGCGCGGCCACGGTATCGGCCGCGTCGCGACACTCGCTATCCACGTCGACATCACCACCGTCCCGGGCGTCGCCGTTATAACACCGGCAATCACCTGTCACCATCTGCACCATCGCCGATCACGTGGCTTGCTCGACGGCGACGCTGTACGACAATGTTCACGCCGCGCCGCTGTGCGGCTCCGGCGTGGGCCACCCTGGCTCCGTCACGCCGATGGGGGCAGCCACCGGAGCGGGGAATTCCACCGGGGTGACCTGGTGGGCCATGATGAACGGTTCCCTCTACGAGGACAGCCCGCCACCGATCCCGCCAACAGCCTCCAGCCTCGTTTCCATCCAGCAACAGCAACAACAGCAACAACAAGCAACCTCGACGCCGGCTTCCCACCAGCAAGCCACCACACCGACCTCGCCAGCTGCACCGGTGTCCTCGGCAACGAGCGCGCCTCCGCCGCCCACGGCCAGCGCCAGCTCGACCTCGCCGAGCGCCTCCTCGGTGGCGAGCAACAGCGCGCCCGGCCCGCTCCACATACCCGCAAAGAGGTTGACCGCCACACCGGCCGCTTCGTCTTACGGCGAAGTCGGCTGCGTCGAGTCTACAGCCGCGCCCGCCGCTGGACCAGCGGGCGTCATTCGTCATTCCCATTCGTCCTCGGCTGGCTCGCAAGGCGGCTGGAGTTACAGTCCCCATCATCCCCAGGACTCTCACTACTCGTCCGCCGCGTCCGCGGCTGACTCCCTCAATCATCACCAAACCTACGGGGGTAACAATCCCCCGACCTACTACAATCTGGCGGCCGACCCTACCTCCACCTCCGGCTCCTCCAGGGACAACCGGAAAGCCGGCACGCTCAGCTTTTGGTCGCCGGCCGCGGCGACAGCGGGTTCCGCCGCCACCGCCGGCTCCACTCCCGACTACAAGTCCTACAATTCGGCCGGCGTCGCCACCACCAGTTCCTCCACCGGTGGCGGTTCCTCCTCAGCGGCCTCGGGGGCCGCCGATCCGGCAGTTTCCTCCTGTCATCAGAGCTTCTCGCAGAGCTGGTGCAACTACGCGCCGTACACCACGGCCAGGCATCACCACCCGGTCGACACGGCCGGCCATCATCATCCTCACTCGCAAGCCGGGGTCCCGTATCTCACGCCGTCCGCGGCCGACGACCGGGGAAGGGTCACTGCCGCCATGGTCGCAGCCGAGGGCGCCTTCCCTCACGACGGATACGGTGGCCTGAGAAATTACGGGGCACCCGAACCTGTCACCTCCAGCCCGTACCCACCTCCAGGTAAGCATCGACTCTGTCGTCTTCCCTCGCTTTAATCTCCCTTTGCTCTTATTTTCAGCCTAACCTCTATCTAGTACCGCGTTGTCCGAGGTAACGTACATACGCCAGCGCTTGGCCACCGATGTGTATACGCTGTTTATTCCACAACTCGCGGTCTCGTAACGCGCGCGCAAATTTGTTTGCTCGTAAACGCGAGGTCATCCGTCGTACGTGCTCCGGCGAGTCCTCGCAGGGAAACGAAACCGTCGCCGAAAGTCGCGAGATCGTGCTCCGAATCTCTCTCAGCTCGACCTTGAACCGAGATCGAGTCGGATGCGAGAGAGCGAGAGAGAGAGAGAGAGAGAGAGAGAGATAAAATGTGAAGGAGAGAGAAGAAGGGAGAATTTAAATGGTCAAAAATCGCGGAGATCCTGACCTGTCACACCCGGAGATCCAGTCATCGTTCATTCACGTATTTGGTCATTCTCTTTCGTCCCCACTCGGCGTCCTTTCCTCGGGAGCCTGGAACCCATGAAACGTCGCATGAGCAACAACGAACCACGGCAGGTTTATTGGCGGCCGTAACTCGTAAACTCTGGCGTGCGCCTCCGATCAGCTGATCCGTTCCATGACCCGTGCAGCCGTTCATTCTTCTCCTACTAACGGCCGTTCTCGCTTTCCTTCTTGCAAATGCTGTCGTCGACTCTCCTTCGCGCCTCCATCCCTCTTTCCGTCTGCCTCGTCCCAGCCTTTAACCCGTTTCGATACCTTTTACGCGACCAGTTCTCTATAGATCCTTGCCCGGTTACTTACGTAATCGCGTCTCGAATTCTCTCGTGACTGGGAACATTCGCGAGCACGGCCAGCGCGTTCCGACATTCCGCGCTAGAGTCCGACGCGTCATAGCCGGAATAGAAGGTCAACGCTAACTCTCTAGCTGATCGATGATCGAAGACGCAACCACGCTCGTAGACGTTGCGACAGGTCGTTGAAAGGAAAAGCGTTTCCCTCTTTTCCTTTCTCCCGAATCGCGAGGAAAACGCGAGACGACAGTGGCCTGTGGTTGGAACACGCTCGGTCCGATAAACGAGATAACGTTCGCGTGATCCTCTCGGCCCTGGAGTTAATCGTATGCGTGGTAGGGAGGTGCACGCGCAGGCGTGCGATACATACAAAGTAGCTGAATACGAGCGCCGCGTATAGTTTAACCGTAGCCCAATAGATGGCAGCTCCATTATCTTTGTTCGTCTGCCTGGTATCCCAGACCGCGCCGCAGACCACACGGTGTCGCGTCCCGAATGCCTCTGGTCGTAGTCTCGCGCGATTTTCGACCGCAGCTGCCGGCCGTTCGCGATTCATCGTTCGCAACCGTGTAGATAGCATCTCCAGGCCCCGGGAAACGCCGCGTTCGAAAACCGACCGGTTGCATCGAAACGTTGCGCGTCCGCCGTTTAAAGGCCACTTTACAACCCTAAACGACGTCCGACGTTTCGCTTTTTAATTTATCGCGCGCTTCTCCGCGTCCCTCGCCGTCTCTAATTAGCGCCATCGCGAATTACCGGCCAGCCGCGCGAGCCACCGATCGTTAATCTCCGATCGGTCTCGTCCTTTCGTTCTCGATGCTCAATTTCCAGTCCGAAATTTCTTCACCGCGAAACGCTTCCTTTCCTTTCCTTTCCTGCTTTTTTTTTTTTTTTTATTTATTTTTGGCGCGAATTCGTGGAACAGACGTGTCCGAATTACCTCCGGAAAGACATTCGCAGCGTGGATATCGGTGGACAACGGTGATTGCTCGAAAGGCCGGCGCGATAACCGTAACACGCTCCTAGCTGGCAGCACGCCAGCCGCGAATCGATACGTCATTTATTCCACACTTTCGTACGCGCGTACACCCCTCGCACACATTCACATTCGCGAGAATTCTGACCTTTGTTAAATAATTTCCATATTCCAGCGTTTTAGTGGTCGATAAATTTCTCTCGCTTAAGCAATCGCGCCGCGATACTGCGCGAAATGAGACGAGACGAACGCCGAGGACAGCGTTGCTTGGCCGTGGGGTAGGTGAGCGCGAGGGTGAGACAGCGGACGTGGCGAAGAAGATAGAAGGCAGGATAGAGGGAGGATATTACGTGTTCTAATAAGGCAGCAGAAAAACGCGAATTTCAGTCCCCTAGAATCTTACGTACAGGAAAAAGGAGAGAAAATACTAGAAAAACCGAGAGTGGTTGTTACGCGCTTTCTGATCCTCGAGATTTAATCAGACATTTGCAACGATACGTATTCGTGAAATATTGCGGAAAATATAGGAGGGGGTTTTATGGGATAGAACCCGGTGACGGAGACTTTAACCCCTTCGCTTGTTATTTAAATCGAGTCATGCTCGTTTCGATTCGATAGAGGGGTAAGGGTCGCTTTGAATTCTGATTTCTTGGATCTCGGATCTTAACGTTGGATCTAGAGGTGTACAAGATTTCAAAAATTTCGAGACGAGGTCTCACCTATATCTCGGAAGTAACTCGTCATTCGAGAATCTCGATATAAGGGATAATTTCAAAAATTGTTAGATTTTTCAAGATTTCTTTGGTTAAATTACACGCGGGATTTATTTAACGCGTGTTAAATATAATACGATATTTTCGAATGCTCAGATACTTTCAAGATCTCGTCTCATCTGTTCTTGAATACTCGGGTCTCGCGCTCCTCTAGCCAGAACGATCGAAATAGTCAAAAAGACTGGACGATGTTTAATTTTTGCCCTGAATGCATAAATCTCGAAGCGAAATTTCGCGCAGTTATTCGTTTCCGTCGTATCGAAGCAATTATCATTAGCATTTAATCGATTTAATTACTCGTTAAACACGAATTACGGTACAAAGTCTGCAACGCGAGTTTCGGTTAGGCGGGGGACGGATTATCCTAATACAGTGCGTCTAGTTTATGCGTATTTAAATCGGAAAATTGAAATTAGAAAACTTTCTACGTTCCTAGATGTGAAGCCTATCGTGGCACGAGTTATGTATGCGCATAAATTAAAATAATTCGGAGTATAAAATTACGAATAATTTTCAATTTGTTTCTCTCGGAGCAATTATGCGAACGGGTTTGTCTACCAGTTAACGCTAAACCTACCACAGCCTAAGCGAACGTTTTTAAATCTTTTATTCAGTGTTATTAGTTACGCTCGACTTCTCGACATTTCTCTCGATGTACGTGTTACAAATTTTTCACTATCTCTATTCCATTTCCCTAGTCGCGATAGGTGTACAGTTAATTTTCATAATCGCCGTTCTACTGCACGTAATGACGTTCAATAGCAAACCTATCGCGATCAAATGACCGGTGTAAGAAAGACAGTTCGACATTGTAGACATAGGGAAAATGATTATACGAGATATATTGGGAGAATGATCCCAAAAACGTTGAACGCGAAATTTTTTAAATAAAAGTTTGCAAAACGGTGATTTATATATCGGTGGATTGACACTAAATCTATCATGGTCAAGTGATTAGTGAATGGAAAAGAAGCAGAAGCTTTAAAAAATGGATTAATGGGAGATAAAGAATGGATTGGGAAAATTATTATACGCGTATCGGAAGAAAAATCGCGAAGACGAGTGATCAAGGTGACAACGTTGAATTTTTAACGAAAGTTTGGGAAACGGTGATTTAGGTTATGGTAGGTTCAGCGTTAAATATTCATAGATGGGAAAAATTTGGTTGGGACTTTGGTTGGGATTTTCGGAGGAAATCGGGAGGCAAGGGGTTAAATTCGAGCATGGTCGTAATTTATTCGCGTCTCGACGGCCGTGCGATTTCAATTTTAAATAAACCCGCCTATTTTCGGTCGTTTTGGTAAAATTCCGCGGCGACGCGTGTCGGTTGAGAAATGACAATCGCGCGGAGGACACGCGAGCGTTTATTTAGCAACGGGGTTGGGCTGCGGACGTGGATGGGGTTAGGGGACAGCAGGTGGGAAAGCGGAGCTCGCACGCGTTCGCGAGCGTGTAACTTCAGCCTCGCGAGGCTGTTGCGTCCAAAGCGATTCCTCGCCACCGTTGTCCGTACTTGGGTTAAAGATAGCCGGACAAGTCGACCGCTTTCGTAATCCCCGCGCTTTCGCAGGCGTACTTCGAGCATCGCGTTCTCCCGTCTATCTCCCAAAAAGACGATATTTATATCCCGAGTTGCTCGCGAGAGTATCGCGATTCGGAAAAAGCGACCACGATTTTTCCTCCCTTTTTTCCTCCTTTCGCTCACCTTTTGCTCCGGCCGTGTAAAAACACCAGCAGACACACGGATTGCGCAATTATTTTATCGCCGGCCGGGTAAAAACACGGCGCTCGCGCGATGCGAATGCGATTAACCTATCGCGACCGCAAATAAATCTTCGAATTACTTTACCCACCAGGAAACACGAGTACGTAAATCCTTATTAGCTTCGTTGTCGCGAAATCGAAGGAAACGCAGAAACTTGTCTAATCTTCCTCCTAATTTGTTACATCGATTTTCGCGCTACTCGAGTGGCAAACGAATTATTACGAATTAATTAATAGAGAAGAAAGGAAACGAGTGGAAAGAATTCGGTCATTGACTAACCATTGATTTTGAAACATCGTTGGAAAAAGAGTGTAGAAACTTTTCGCGCGAAATATGAAATTCAATTTTACTTAGAAACTAGTATCCTAGTTTTTCCTTTAACAAATTAACACTATACCTACCACGGCTTAAATTACCGTTTTCAAAAATTTCATTCCAAATTCCGCGTTCACCGTTATCGATCTTTCCATTTATTAAAGATTCTACTCCTTTTTCATCATTTCATCGTGATAGGTTTAATATTAACACTTACGTCATTTCGATATGTTCCGAAAATTACTAAAACCATTCGCATTTAAATAAAAATAATCTGTTCGAATCTTATTAATTTCACATAACTATGTATCTCATATTGTCATTTATAACTTAATAGCGCATAATCGTGTAGCTTTTAAAGTTACGTTTTTAAAGAAAATGTCCGATTTCGTTCATGTTCGAATAGCATACGAGAAATTGCCTTAAACCTAATGTTAACCCTTTGCACTCGGTGATTTTTTCGTTACAAAAAAATAATAATTCGAAGACTTTCTGCCACGAGCCAACGATATTTTTAAAACGGTACATAAGAAATCATATGCAAATTGAGACGTAGAATTATTTTACTTTGACATTCCACGCATCGTTGGGTAACTTTAAATTTGATATATCAATTAACATGGTTCTTTGGAATTTGATTAAATGGTGACTGAGGCGCCTCTCGAGTGCAAAGGGTTAATAAAAAAAAAAAAAATCAGTCACGAGTCAAATCGATTTTTCAAAATCGCGAAATGTCGTTGCCGAAAGCTAAATACGAACGTCCACGAAACCGCAGTCACGAGATTCGTAACGATTTCGAACCACCGGCCACATCGTACTAACAGTCGCGCCTTTTGCGTCCCGGTTTCATGTTTTCCGCGCGGTTAGTACACTCGGTCCAATTATATCGTATCGGCCGGTCGTGACGAACCCTTCGCGTACGTGAGTCACGCACACACGCGCGCACAGGTTCCGAGTGCACGCTCTCGCGCCGGGGATCCGCTTTGGGTTCGAATCTCGCCATCTCGTCACCCCGCGATCTCTCTTCGCGGGAAAATTCTAATCGGGGAACTCGATCAACCGGTTCCCACTTCTCGACGAACCTATCGATACATCGAGAAGTCCGGGTCGATTCGAACTCGAAATCGCGATTGCCTTTCCTCTCTTCACCCTCTATGCGTTCTGAAAGAACGAACGATCAGACGTTATCGCTGCGATTGTAAGCGGAGCGAACTGTAACCTAACCTAACCCACGTCGGAGTGAATAATTCGAGACACGGAAACCAGTTCGGAAAGCGCGGTTAATGCGATTATTAACCTCCGGCGCGAAATTTAACGTCGGTTGCAAGCCCGCGTGCTTTCTCTCTCGATCGGAGCACGGGTAAAAAATAATCCCAAGATTGTTAATCGATTCCGACTGCGTGGGTATATAAACGTTGACGAAGCGTTGCTTACGATATTGACATATGCTAATTATTACGACCGATCGAGTGTCACGCTTGATTCACTCTCGTCCATTCAGACGAGACTTCTTTTTACCGATATTTCGTTTCGTTTACGTCGATATGTAGTACGCGTGCGCGTAGGCGGAAGATATTTGAAGACTTCTCGCGCCGTCTACTCGCGCGTATCGATCTGTCCGCTTGATTCGGCTCTGTAACGCGTAACGAGTGTCAACAGAGACTTCATCGGGAACAAAGACTAACGGTAGTTACGCGCCGATACGTCGACTAACGAACCGCGATATATTTGCTCTCGTTTCCGTTGGTTTGCGCGGATCGGAGGAGATGGAGATGGAGTTAGCCCGATCGCGAGTAATCGGTGAAACGGGGAAAATGGAAGGATTTCTACGAACGCAATCGGAACGACGAGGAAAATTTAATGATCGGCTATATATCTAGCTAGCAACTAGGTTGTTTCTTATCGGCAAACTAATTGTGTTAAGTGATGTGGGGTTCCTCCCCATCTTCCTTGTTTCCCGCAGGTTCCCTGGCGGGAGTCGGCGTCGGTGTCGGCGTAGCCGGGATGGGCGTCGGTTGCGGGAGCTCGAACCCCCTGGAATGGACCGGGCAAGTGACGGTGCGAAAGAAACGCAAGCCGTACTCCAAGTTCCAGACCCTGGAGCTCGAGAAAGAGTTCCTTTTCAACGCGTACGTGTCGAAGCAGAAACGATGGGAGCTCGCGCGCAACTTGAACCTGACCGAGCGACAGGTGAAGATCTGGTTCCAGAATCGACGAATGAAGAACAAGAAGAACAGTCAGCGGCAGACGCAGCAGCAAAACAACAACAACAACAGCAGCGCCAACAACGCGAATCACCACGCGGCGACCGGTAGCCACCACCATCCGAGCGCCGCGCATGCGCCACCCTCGAGTCACCACGTGGTCGCGCAGGCGCACCACGCGAACGGTTCCGCGAAGCATCATCAGTGACCCGTGGCCTTCTCTGGGGTCGTCTTCGGCCATCATCATCACAGCCACGGCTCTACGAACGGTTGTGCCGGAACTGGGACTGGGGCCGGGACCGGAAACGGGACTGGAAACGGCACCGGCCATTCCGGCAGCCACCCGAGCCTGGTTACAGGTCACAGCCACACGCTTCACGCGCCCCAACCTCAAACGCCTCTGCCGACCCACGCTGCCGGTGCCTCCAGCACCGTCACGCCCCCCACCGCTGTCGTTCATCCTCACATTCACGCACACGCTCATCATCATCAGTTGGCGCACGTGGCTCAGCAGTATCCTGCGCTTCTTCATCAGACGCCTCATGGCCTGGCTGCCTGAACTTGATCCTTCAGGTTTCTGACGCCCCAGAGAAATCGTCGATGAGTCGTCTATACACGGCTCGGACCTTGCAACGCAACTTTTCGTCGTCATCGTCGTCGTCGTCGTCGTCGTCTTCTTCATCGTCGTCGTCGTCGTCGTCGTCGTTGCAGTCGTCGTCATCATTGCAAATCGACATCCACGACTACGTCGGATAGATAGATATGTACCCGCACACTTATCGAACTTTGTTCAGCAGCTATTCAAAGACTGCCTACCACTTGTAAGGAGAGATAATGTTTCGCGAGTAGTATATTATTATTATTATATTATTTTATTATTATTATTAATATTATTATTGCCGATCATCGTCATCTCTATCGTCACCCATGGTTATCGTAACCAACGAAAGGAATAGTGTTGTATAGAAGAGCGTGACTTATTGCGGCGTCCTTGGAACGTCGACCACCGGACTCTTTTCCCGCGTGTCGGTGTCAGGTGTCGGTCTTCTTCGAGTAGTGCGCATTATCACATGCGGCACCAAGCAATCTGTCCAATTCGTAATTCGGTAGTACTTCCTCCAGTTATACATATTATATATATAGTAAAGCAAATTAGTGTCACTTAGTGTCTGTCCTTCCCCGTCTCATCTACCTTTATTCCCGCCTGGACGAACACCTTCTGTCCTCCCTACTCCCACACACCCTCTCAACACCGATCTATACCACTTGCTCCAAAACTCTCGATCGTACGTTTGCCTTGCCTCTCGCTGTTCAGCCCGCGCGCTCCATCGGCCAGAATTTTCACCGTTCCACTCCATAACCGAGTTCGAGAAACCGCCACGTTGGATCCCACGGCCACGACACTGCGATTCGTCCAGGATCGCGGCTCACGAAGATCGCTTTCCAGGGGTAAGTGTACCGAAACGGAAGGAAAGCGAGACGATGTTCCAATCTCGGTTCGCGACTATCGAACGACCCGACGCGCGCGTCGATCTTCGCACGAACGCGCGAGGGAAACGGTGCTGTTGAGAAATTCGAATTTTTCGTTTTGTTAGATTTTACGTTTATTTGTTCGGCACGCAACGTGAAACGTTGATCGCTACTGTCTGTGATTTCGCGGAAAGTACTAATATTCGCAGAAACGACGATCCCGGCCAAGGCTCCGTTTCGTTCAGTCGATGGCCGTCAGTCGTCCAAAATATATATATGTATATTTGCACGCCCAACGTGTGTTAGTTTAATTTTTCTCGGCGTATTCGTGTCGCGGAAACGAGCGTGAAGCTCGAATCAATGGTCGTCTCGCGGGATCCAAGGTGTCCCTCTTCGTCGACGCGTTCGGCTGAACAGTGGGACGTGGACCGATTTCCGATTCTGTATTGTCCCGGTAAAGATCTGCGAATGCAATTCGCGCGTGTTCCATCGATCGCTGACGAGTTGCCACGGGACGAAACGGTTTGGACCTTTGTAGATAACTTCTATACTCTCTGTTTGACGTTTCGTCCCGCGGCGAGTGGTCAGCCGTGGGAAATGGAGGCGAGAAATTGAGACTGGGCCCGTTCGTGGTACCCCTGTGAGTTTCCGCGAGGTGGCGGACCTGGTCCAAAGCAACCATGCGTTCGGAGAATTAGTCTAATTATGTCCAGAGTGTTGTATTCATCGCCTACCAAGGATCGCAAACTAGTACCTATAATTCTTATATTATATGTAAAAAAAATCGACTTAGATTTAAAGGCATACCTAGTGGATCGTCGAGTGGTCGGGAGCACCGCTTTGAGGCTGAGTTTAGGATGTTTTGCCGCGGAACTAACGGTACGCGAGTACGAGTCGTTTCTCACGATCGATGCGGAAGGAAGGTGGAAAAAGTCGCGATGTGTTTGATCGATCGACGATCAATTTTTCGTTTCTCCCTCTCGCGAAAGGGAACGGCAATCGAACAGTGTTCTTTCATCGAGACAAAAGGAATTTGGTTGTTAGTCATTTCGATATTATTTATTTGTTGAATGCGAAATTACTGTTTTGTTTGGAAAAATTCCAGAGTTCTCGCAAATATATACATGATATCCACGAAGAATCGATTAATTCAAAGTCCAAATTCAAACATTCTCCTGGTCGAGTGTGCAAAGTAATATTCGTCCTTGCGTCTAGCGATGGTGGCCCCTAACGAAACAACCGCAGCGAGTAACTAGGATTTTCGGATTAATTAGACGCTCGAAGACCTCGCGAGAGACGAGGAAGATCGAGCTGCCGTGGACGATAGAAAGGCCGGTTGACCAGGTGCCGAAAGTCCTCGTTCCAGATTCCAGGACGAATATTATCTCGGTCGTCCGATCGAATGGGGATAAGAAAGGAGCGACTCGCGAGACGAACAGCGAACCGAACGAACGAACCGAGTCCTAAGCGCGGTGTAACGATAAGAGCGGTGAAGACGAAGGGTTTACACCTTCTGATCGGTACGTCAGCGAGTAAGTAGGTAATTTAATCGGATGTTAAATGAAAATAAATATCCCAGTGGATCTCTATTCTCTAAGGTGCAACATTATCTAAATCATAAGGGCCGCTGAATGAGTGTGCATGCCTACGGTATATATCGCATATACATACACGCGTATTTTCGGTATGTGTCACTGCGCGGTGCGCGCGTGTGCGTGCGCGTGCATGCGCGACGTAGCACGGGGCCGGCGAGATGTAAGTACGGGCTTTACAACGGGAGGAAAATCGATAAAGAGAAAGTAGGGCCGGCCGAGGATCGGAATTTTCTTAAAAGTGTAGGCGCGCGCGCGCGCGTGCGTGCGCTCGCGAGCGCGTCAGAGCGGGAGAGCGTGAGTTGCGGCGCGTGAGTGCGAGTGAGACAGGGAACGAGCGCGAGGAAGAGGAACGAAGTGGGACGGAGCGTATGAGAGCGAGAGAGAGAGAGAGAGAATGAGAGAGAATAGAAAAGGGAGCGGTAAACCGAGAAACCGAGTTACAGATAACGATAAACAGAAACGTGACGCGGAGTGGGGGGTGGGGGAGGCAACGGAGCAGCGAGATTATGTATTGTATAATTAGGGTAACTTTTAAACGAATGGAAAACAGCGAAACGGAACGTACACACACGAACACCAACACGAACACGAACAGGTATGAGCTGAGTGGAAACACACGTACACATACACGGTATACGCCGTGAGATTGGGTCTCGGACGAACGGTATATAGATTCTGCCACGACTACTATTAATACGTTAATTATGTAACGACGATAAAGTATCGAATACACGAGTAATAGCTAAGGTGAAAATGGATACGTGCGATTTTTAGAGATTTAGGGAAAACGGGAACGTTACTGGAGATTGGATAAAACGGGGAGAAGGGGAAAATTTCGACGTCAAGGTCAAGATTGCAGTCAGCGCACCATTCGGACTTGAACGCGTATTGTCGATTGTAATTAGTTGCTAATTGTCTTGCCGCTGACGATCTTTAACGCGATTATTACGATTATTATTATTATTATTATTAATATTATTATTATATCATTATTTTTATTATTATTATTATTATTATATTATATTATTATATTAATTATTATTATTGTGAGCGTCACGTTAATATTATGTTATTGTTTTTATTGTGTGTTGTTTTGTATGTACCTATCAGCCTATTGCGATCATGATATTATTACTACGAAATGGTAACGAAACAATGGACCTACATTTACATGCGCATCTACAGGTATAAATGTGTACGCGGAAGCGCGCAGCCCGACGAGTACACGCAGAGAAAACACGGTCCCGTAAAACGTGCCCGATTAATTTTAACTTGCAGCAGGATAGTCCTCTCGAATCTGCTTCGAGTTCGTAAGCGTACCACGAATGAACGGAGCAATCGATACTTTGCCCTCGCGATTACGTTTCCGGGTCGTATTTACCCTATTTCCTCTGTTACGTTTCGCTCGTTTCGATCTCTTCTTCCTTCTTCAATTTTCTTTTTGCTCTTTTTTCGCGTCACCTTCTCCCAAATTTTTCCCCATTCTTCCTCTCGCTCGAGAGAGGAAAGAGAGGACCCGCGACGGCTGCGTTCTGCGTCGAATTTCACGCGTCTCGCGAAAGCTTTAAAGCGCGTTCGAAGCGACGAGCTTTCCATCGATATCGATCCGCGCGTATAACATCACCGGGCAACGTTTAGCGAGAACGATCGACGATGTCTCACGATCGTCGGGACGATTCCTCGGGTTCCCGAGGAATTAGAGGAGATAGGACGAGCGCGAGAGTGAGAGAGAAAACGTGTGCGAGCGAGTGCGTGTGCGTGCGTGTGTGTCTGTGGAGCGCCAGGTAATCTCGTTTACCCGAAAGAGGAGAGGAAAATGTTACGCGTTGCGTGAACGCGCGTTTATTTTTTTTTATATTCGAGTTACTGCCGAACGAAGAGGAACGAAGAGAGAGAGAGGGAAGATTGTTCTTGCGTTATTACGTTCAATTTTTCTTTTCTTTTTTTTTTTTTGTACATTCACGACTGGGCGATCAAGTCACGTTTATATTTTCTCCTGGTGGATGAAAGGAAATGTGAAGAGAATTACAATTATATTATTGTTTCATGCTCAACGTTGTTATATTTACTCGATCAACGAACGCCGGACCTTCAACATGGCGGAACGTCCTTCCATTATCACGGGTTATCCGCTGTAACCGCGACAAATTTTATCTACTCCGCGTTTACTATGTACGTCGTGCACCCTCGACAACCCCCCTAGTCTCCTAGAGATTCGCCCTCCGGTTCTTCGCACCTGCTTTCTCGCGAATTCCCCACGTGCAGACAAAAGAACGTCGCAACGGAGAGGGTGCGCACCCCTTCTTCGAAGACCTCGCGAGAATTCATGGCTGAAATAATTTCGGGACGCACGAAACTCGCGACTGGCACGATGGTTCCTTGTACCTGCGACCGATCAGTACGAGCTGCGAGGTAAGTAGCAGAGCCTGAAGCTAGGATAAGCGTGTCCTGTTCCTTGTTTCGCGCGCGATTCGACACGCGTGTCGTGTCGCGGTTCACGCACACACGCGACTCGATCGTTCATCGATGCAATGGCGTAGGTTCGCGATAAGGGTCGAGAATTCCGCGGTGAGAAACGAGACGAACGTATACTTACGAGCGTTGCGGTGTAATTAATTATTTGCAACGTTATTCTAAGTCGAAGGCCGAGTAACGATATGCCAATTCGCGTGTCGTTCGTCCGTGTTATTTTAGCCATGAT